GTGCGGGTTTACAAGCCGAAGGGTTGCCAGTTCGATTCCCTATCAGGGCACATACCTAGGTTGTGAACCATGTCCCCAGTAGGGGGAGCATGAGAGGCAACCGCACAGTGATGTCCTTTCCTCTCTCTCCCTTCCCCTCTGTCTGAAAATAAATATTATTTAAAAAATAAGAGTTTGAAAATCCTGGGTTCAAGTCCCAGCTCTTCCACTTACAGCTGTGAGAACTTCAGAGTTACTTAGGCTTCCTATACCCAGTACCTCATCTATAAAATGAAGATAACAGTAGTACTTTGGGTTATGAGGATTAAGTGTGGAAAGGACTGAGAACAGGAGCTGGCACATAATAATTGCCATTAAAAATGAGAGGCTGGGGTGGGGGAGTGGTGAGAGGAAAATGGAGACAACTGTACTTGAACAACAATTTTCTTAAATGTGAAAAAAAATGAGAGCTAAAAGGTAAGTTACAGCCCATTCCCAAGTACTACAGCAGAAGTTCTCAGCTGCCCACAGACTGAGGCCGGGACTGCAGCGGGGAACATCTGGTGCGAGCGAAGACACCGAAATGGCTGCCAAGGTGCGCTAGGATGACGTCTCCTTCCCCAGCTCATAAGCCACAGAATATTAATGCTGTACGTGGGACCTCGGAGCACACTCCATTTGGTCTCCCCATTTTACCGTTGAAGAGCTTGGGCCCAGAGAAGCCTCTGTTCTTCAGGCACATTTCCAGAACTTCTTCCCTTCATCCCCAAAGCTGCAAGATGTGATAACTGTTTAATGCTTCCAAGCTCTTGTGAGCATAAGCCATGTCAATGAAGAAAAAGGTCAAGGCTGTGACCCACCAACCATAGGTCACCCACACAGAAACCTGGGGGTAGGGGGGTTGCACTGGAGGGGGCAGATGTTTGGAGACATAAATGCTTTCCTACCTTTCCCTACTCCCAGTTTTTTTAATGCAATTTTTTTCAAGAAAATAAGTACAAAAACTAGCCTGGGCAATGACAGGACAGTGAGTACTAAGAATTCTGAGCTACTCCAGCTAACTGGAATGTAAGGTGGGCCGGGCCCTGCCACGTTTTGGGTACCCGTGTCCTTTGTTATGAAATGGGCTGTGATGCTACACCCGACCCGCCTTTGGAACTGACACATCTCTATGAATGTAACAGGGTGCAGCCAAGAGAAGGGCCCCAAATAGGGCTTTGAAATGGGGACAAGAACTCAAGGTGTCCAGGAAATATTAGGATGTCCTCACCTCCCACCCCGTGCCCCAGGTGTGGGTTGAGGAAATGGACTCATGGAGCAGGGCCATTGAGAGCTGTTTTGCATAGCAACAGCTTTGCAGCTAACTTCTGGCATGGTCATTTAACATATCTATAACCTTTAACTGGCTACATAGATATGTTAAATACCTGTGGCCATGATCTGAGCCAGGGGAATGGAAGTAACTTCCCCACCGAGACATAACTGGGAGCAGGTCCCCTGAGTTACAGTGCCTGCATGGGAGCTTGGAGATGATTGGCTCCAGGCCATGGGGCCACGCCTTCCCAGACTCAGGATGGGAAGGCAGTAAAGCTGGAAAGGATATGAGAGTGCTGGCAAGTGTAGCCAATTGTGGGCGGAGTCAGAAATGGGGCTGCAGAGGAAGATTGGCGCGGGGATTTAAATGGAGATGTAGCAGCCATTGGAGGGAGAACCATGCAGCTCTGCCAGAGTGGGGACCCCCGCAGCTTTAGTGGGGACTCCCACCACCCAGCTTTAGCAGAGACCCCCGCGACACAGCTGATGGTGCCAGGAACCGAGGGAGGCCTACCAGCTGAGATGGATTACTGGGAAGAACTGGGGGCTGCCTGAGCCACGGACTTCTATTTCTTTTCCTGAGATACGGTACCCTAGATTGGGCAAAGGGGGGAAGGAAGGACTGTGTGTGTTTGTGGGTGTTTTAAGGGACTTTGGGATTTTGATGAAGACATTAGGTCACTACTTTAAGTCTGTATAGCATTAGATAAACATTTTATTTCCTTTTCACGAATCTCTGGCTTTGAGAGATGTCTTTCCTATAAGGCGGGGGACATAACAAACCTGGGGAGTTTCTTTTGGTAATAGTCTATCACCCAAGGCCCCCCTTTTGTTCTGTAACATGAACGCTGCTCAGGGCCGAAGAAGGCCACCTTGTTCAAGACCATGTCCCCTTCCCCAGTGTTGGGTGGATGTGAAGGAATAAGAGTCAGCACCTTTGGAGCACTGGGGGACAATCCCAGCTTCAGAGCTCCTTGTGGGACCCACTGGGGCCCTTGTGGAGTGGGTGCCACAGCCCACCCTCTCCCTCACTCAGTCCTGCTTCGCTCCCTCCCAGGAATTATCCCACTTTTATCCTGTGGGCAAACCCAGCAGACTTCCTGCACATTAATCTCCATCTCAGCACCTGCTTCCCGGAGGGCCCCACCTGCAACAGCTCTTTTCTGTAGAAAAGTCTCACACCTCACTCTTCCTGACCTGTTTTTGGTGTGTTTGTTGGTTGGTTGGTTTTTATTAAAATAAATCTAATGGCATACTTAACCTCTGCAACCTAAGCAGAGTCTGAGCTTAATATCCAGCAAAATCTAGCTCAAATTCTTTCTCCATTGTTACTGTATAAATGGCTGCTCCCTCCCCAACCTGATTTCCATTTGGATTTCATAATTGAAGCACAATGTATTCTCTCGGTGAAGCAAGGCCTTTGGATCCCCACTCCCCGCAGCAGTCCCGGGCCCTCCCCGGAAGTCACAGCTCTGTCGCTGCCTTGACAACCACTGCAGGTCTCGACCAGTCAAGTCTCTGAACAGCATTCATTTCCCGCAGTCTATTTTATTAACCACTTGTTTTTCATTTTCCAAATATAAAGTGGTACTAGAGTGCTTTGTCAAATGCCCTTGCTCAAACCCCTTAGTTTATGAGGATTAGCAACAGCCCACGGGGAAGGAGAATGTAACAAAGTTTAAGGCACCCGAGGAAGAGGCAGGAGAGGAGCACTTCTAGGCAAATAGGAGAATTAACATTTTAAGGTTGGGGAAATCAGCTACTGTTTCTATAACCTGCAAGAGGAGAAACCATTTCAGCATTCATAGTATAGATAGGTTTAAAGAGCAATCAAATATGACTTTATAAAGAATGAGGTATTGGCTAATTTGCATACAGGTTCACAATGAAGGCCTCGCTGAATCCCTAACGCTGAGTAACTCGGCAGCAAACGTGTCACCCAACTTTGGGCCGTTCGGAAATTTCAAGGCCTGTGCTCCCGTGTCCAGGTCATACTTCTCAACAGAGGGGAGCCCGTGGTCAGCTCAGTGCTGGTGGCATCACAGTGTTAAAATGGGCTTTTGCACAAGCAGGAAATTCATTCAGAAGTAGAACAGAAAAGGCTCCTTCTCCCATAAAAAGTCAACCTGAGCGCTGTCAGGAAACATACTTTACTTGGCAGAGGGTGGCATCTTCAAAAATATCTGCTGGGTGTTGGGAAGGGTTGTTCATTATACATTTTTTATTTTTTTAATAATTATTTTATTGTTCAATTACAGTTGTCTGTGTTTTCTCCCAACCACTTCCCGCCCCACCCCAGCCAAACCCACCTCCCTCCCTTGCTTCCATCCCCTCACCCCGCCACATTTTTGTCCATGTGTCCCTCATAGTAGTTCCTGAAAACCCTTCCCATCATTATTCCCTCCCACCTCCCCTCTGGTTAGTCAAATTGTTCTTAATTTCTGTATCTCTGGTTATATTTTGCTTGCTTTTTTCTTTTGTTGATTATGTTCCAGTTAAGGTGAGATCATATGGTATTTGTCTTTCACTGCCTGGCTCACTTCATTTAGCATAATGCTCTCCAGCTGCATCCACGCTGTTGCAAATGGTAGGAGCTCCTTCTTTCTCTCTGCTGTGTGGAATTCCGTTGTGTAAATATATCACAGTTTTTTGATCCACTCATTTACTGATGGACATTTAGGTTGCTTATTATACATTTTTGAATAAGCAAACCATAAAACTGAAAATGCAAGCTACCTTGGGAGATAAAAAAGTAGTTATTTTGGGGGGAAAGCTCTAATTACAAGGACAATGAAAGAGGACAGAAGGCAGAGTGGGGACATGTATAGGAGGGACGGGAACAGTCACAAAGGACACAGAAGGAAGAGCAGGCGGGCATCAGAGCTACACTGCTGTACCTGCTGTATCATTACCACTGCTTTTGGCTGCAAGGAACAGAAAACCCACAAGGCACATTTTTCTTGTTAATCCTTCTCATGTCACAAAAAATTAAGGACAGCTCTTGCTGGTGTTGTTTCAACAGCTCAGCAATATCAGGGTTCAGATCTCTGTAATCCGAAGCTTGTTCCTTATGGTCGTAAGATAGCTGCTGCCTGGTCACCTCTAGCTGGGAGAAGGCCAAGGAGAAAGGGGCTGCAGAGGGAGAGCCAAGCCATCAACTCCCTGCCACAGCCACAAGACCACCGTGGGCAGACCGGGCTTTTCTGAAGGGAGAACTTGGCAAGAGGATGGGTGCTGGGGCCATTCGAATGGAACCACAGCCCCGGCTGGTGCACAGGTTGGAGGGGCCAGGGACACATGTAAATTTCTACATCACACTAGTAAATGGGCAGAGAGACCAACTAGCTACTCCAAACTTAGATTTTATTTGTATTACCCAAGACACTCCCTACAGAACTCTCAAAAAAAAAAAAAGTTCAGACTGCCCTGGCTGGTGTGGCTCATTCACTTGAGTGCCAGCCTGCAAACCAATGGTCAATGGTTCAGTTCCTGGTTGGGGCACATGCCCGGGTTGCAGGCCAGATCAGGTCTCTGGTGGGGGACATGTGAGAGGCAACTAACTACACACTGATGTTTCTCTCTCTCTCTCTCTCTCCCTCTGTCTAAAATAAATAAAATCTTTAAAAAAAAAGTTCAGACTATAAATGAATAAGAAGGAAAAAGTGCATTTGAATTGCTATAAAATACAATCAAATTACAAAACTACATGTATTTTTACACTTTATTTACAAAGAAACAGTGTAATTGTAATAAGGAACCAAGGAAATAAAATAACAGGCATACATATTTACACAGCAAGTATAGGCAAAACTTAGGAAGGAGATTCTTTAAATACTAGTATTTATCAAATCAACTTCTAAGAATAATTTTTATCACCTTCAGAAAGAATTTTTAGGATTCAAGCTATGACTGTCTTAATGAAAAAATTATATTCTTTCAACATCCCCAAGGTCCTTCAGGCTCAGTAAACCAGATCACTACCCATTTTTAAAAGAAATGAAAGCTCTTAAATTAGGATATTGTAACTGCTTTAAGAAATTGTTTTTAAAAAACTCATACTATCATTTGCTGAGTAATACCATATAAACTTAGCTTACATTAATTTCTTAATCCATTAAAATGGTTTGTTACCTTACAGTGAGACTCCACTGCTAACGATGAGAAACACTGTCATTTACTATTTAGCTCTCAGGAAATCATTCAAAGTGTGAATTCAGCCATTAGTAACATTAACATACATGAAAAAAATTAAAATATCTATCTATCCCCAGCAACCAGTTAACTGCTACATCCTCCAAAACCAGAGATGGGTATTTTTAAGAGTCAAGACTTTTCACCCCTGGCCAGGGTGGCTCAGTGGGCTGGAGGGTTGTCCTATACACAGAAAGGCGGCGGGTTTGATTCCAGGTCCAGGCATGCACCCAACTTCTGAGTTCGTGGTGCCCAGTCGGGGTGTGTATGAGGAACAAGTGATTGATGTTTCTCTCCCACATCTGTTGTTTTTCTGCCTCTTTCTCCCCTCTCTCTAAAATCAGTAAGCGTGTCCTAGGGTGAGAATAAATATATACATATGTTTTTTTATAAGAGTCAGGACTTTTCTAACCTCTGCACCAATACACCCTGGTGTACAGGCTTCACTGAGTTTCACCAGCAGAAGAGGGGCGCATCGTGAGAGCCACGCCGGCACATCTCTGGGACCCTCCCTGGAGAGTGTGGACACAGCTGGCGCCGTCCACACCTTGGGCACAACACCTTCTGTGTTTGCCAGTTCTTCCTTTAGTTCACTGTCCTTCCAGCCGTAAAAATGTGATGTCAAAACTGAAATAAAGCAAATATTTAACACAGAAATTATTCTAATGTAAGAAAAAATAGAAACACAAGCACCAAATGATCCCTTGAGGTTTAATTCATTCAACAATAAAGTTATTTAAGAGTGGGCTTATGTATCAGGCACTGTGCCTGAAAGTAGACAAAAAAAAAAAGACATTCTTTCTCTAAAATGCTTGTCGTTGACTGGAGAGAAGACGCTAGAGCAGGGAACAGCACGAGACGACTCTGTAATACCTCACCGTCCCACTACCACTGGGTATAGTACGTTCAGGATATTCAGTTACCCATGTGAATTTCTGAGGTAATTAAAGATTTCAAACATCCTATAATTTTAATAAACCAAGTTCTAGTCACTGTTCTGCCAATCAGATGTGGGGGTAAGGGCAGATTACTTAAGCACGATCAGATAACACTGGCCAGGAGGTTTTCTGTGTGTTTATTTTAGGGTATTGCTGTGAAGATCAAATGAGTAAAACAGCACTCTGCAAGTCCTAAGTATCTATACAACTGTTAAGCATTTATGCTTAGGCACCTTTGCCTTTTCATCATAATAGTTCTAAACTATATACTTTTGTCTTCTTAGACTTAAGGCCATACATTTCTGAGGCAACATGATAAACATCAGATATTGTACGCACCCATACCAGTTGCTCGGAGACTACTCACGCTAGAACGTAGGCAGGACAATTTCCCCCACTCTGCCGTGCTCTGAGCTGCTACCTGCCCCTTAGTCTTCCACCCCCTCCCCTGCTGATGGCTACCTCTCCTGAATGCAATCCTCTGGACTTCAGACTCTTCCCTCCCCCACAGTCCCCCCCCCCGCCCCGCTCCCATCTCAGCTCCATTAGGAGATGGGAAAAACGCTCCCAAATTAGAATTATGCCTTAATTAAAAAGAGACCAGGTAAGGAGCTATCTTAAGGATCAAGTCTTTGAAATATACTCATGTCCTTTTAAGCAGGCATTGTCATGGAAGGTAATTATGATCCAATATGCACTTTTAAAAGGGCAATTACCATCCTGATCCAAAGTCTGTATCTGCCTGAAAAACGATGGAGCATTCACAGGTATGGTCAGCGTGAAGCTACCGTACCACCTAGCACTGGTCCCATGCAAGTTCCAGAGACCCAGTGCGTGGTGCTGACAGTAACATCCGCAAACGCCTGTCCTGGGTGAGCCATTATAAACTTACGCACGGTATTTTCCAAGCCAAGCGTTTTATTTCAAAAAACTTCATAGAAGGCTAAAAGCTAAAATGAGCACATAAAAATTAACAAACACAGAAACATTAGCAGTACCAACAAATAAATGTAGAGCCCATTCTGCATAATTAATTACTTTAAGAAAGCTTGCAGGCAAAGATATAAATACTGAGTTGGCCAAAAAGTTCATTCCACTTTTTGCTGTAAAATAAAAGACATATTTTTCATTTTCACCAATAACTTTATTGATTTGGATATTCTGAGTATGCTGGCTATCTCCCACAAGGTATAAAGTTGAATGTTCCCAATTAATGTCTCAATTTTATCACTATCAACTTCAACTGGTCTACCTTACCGTGGACCACTGTCCAGCGAGAAGTCTCCAGCATGAAACTTCACAAACCATTTTGGATACGTTCGATCAGTCACAGCACCTTCTCTGTACACCGCACAAATCTTTTTGTTACATTTACATTTTTACCTTTTTGAAATAATAAAGCATTATATGCCCAAAATGTTGCTTATTTTCTCCCACCTTCAATATTAAAATGGCCACACAAAAATTCACCAATTTTGATGTTTTTTTAAAGTGATGTGACAGCTGTCACAATACAATCTAACAAAATTGTTTCAAATGAGGTTAAAGACAACTAAGAGCTACTAGAGCCAGCTTACAGAAAAAGCCGAATGAACTTTTTGGCCAACCCAATAATACACTTTAGAAAAACTAAAAAATTAACTTTACATTATTAGAGCTCACCCTTGACGTTTCTGGACTTGAAAATGGAGAAGGCTCCCAAGACCTATTTTCTTTGTCAAAGGAATCATCTTCTTGGAATGCAAATTTCTGCTTGAGTGCCTGGGATATTACAGCCACTGGGTCCCACTGTGAACTGTGTCTCTTCCTCTTATGAATGGGTCTGCCTCCAGGTGACCTATATTTTTTAATTATATAAGTTAAAATTCTGTGCTAAAGATCTTTATTTTAAATCACCTATTTCTGCTGTGGAATTTTCTTTTTAATATTTAAGAACTTTTAAAAGGAGTATAGAGTTTATAAAAAAGAAACATTAGGCTAATTGTTCACTCAATCTTCACTTAATCCCTACTATTACCCCAGTTTCCATTTTACACTTTGAGGGTAGAACAGGATCCTGCGCCTATGGAACATTCTGGTGGCAGGTGATCGATGCACCAGTAAGCAAGTGCAGTAAATGCCACGAATAAAATAAAATAGGGTACTGTGACAATGACTAGGACGAAAGCACTGTAGATAGGATGATCAGGAAAAGCCTCTTTAATGACATCCTCTTTAAGGAAATGACCAGGGGTCAGTTTAATGTGAACATCGGTACATGCATCAGGAAGGAGCTTGGCATGTGTGAGAAGCAAAACCAGAAATTGTTGGTGTGCAGTTAGTGTGGGAAGCAAGACATGAGGTCAGAGAGACAAGGGCTAAATCCTGGAGGGTCTTACAGGCCACAGCAAAGTGTCTGTATTTTTTCCTAGGCATATGGAAAATCACCAGAGGTTTTAAACAGGGAATGGCATGATCTGACTTCAATTTTTAAAGGATCACTCTGGTTACTATACGGAGAGGAGGCAAGAATGAAAACAAAGGGACCAGTGAGGAGGCCACTGTATCGGTCCAGGCTAGATGAGATCACCGGTGGCTTAGATGGGGGGTGGCGGCTGGATCACGAGGGCACACAAATTTGAGTTACATGCTGATGAAAAAAATATGGGACAAAAAGGAAGAGAAAAAACAAGGGAAATTCCTAGATGTTCAGACTGAGCAACTGAGTGATGGTGCTGACATTTACTGATACGCAAAAGACTCTGGGGAGAACAGGTTTTCAAGGTGAGGGAAGGGAGCAGGTAGGAAGAGAGAGCTCTGCTCTGGACATGTGAAGCCTGAGAGACCTGTGAGACAGGCAAGGAAGGCGTCAAGGAGGCGCCCTGCCATGAAGGCGTGGGGCTCAGAAGAGAGCTCAGGGACAGAAAAGTAAATGTGAGTCATCTGCACATAGCCGGCATGCAAAGCTATAGGACCAGATGGATGACCAAAGAAAATGAACAGTGTGGATGGAGAAGAGAAGGGGGCTGAGGTCTGAGCCTTAGACACGCCAACATTTAGAGACCAAGCTCAGAGGCAGAGTAAGCAAGGGACTAAGGAATGAACGGCAAGATAAGGGGAAAACCGAGTCCGATTCCCTTGAAGCCAAGTAAAGAGTGTTGTAAGGTGGAGGGAACCACCGACTGTATTAAATGCCACCAAGAGGGCAAGAGGTGCAGTAAGACCTGACCACTGAAGTTGGCAACAAGGGGTCACTGGTAACCTGAACAAAAGCAGCTTTCCCTGGAGTGATGGGAACAGACACCATGTTACAGTGGTTGGAAGAAGGCAGTGAGAAATAGAAACACACTGCAGATGGCACCAAGAACTTGTATCAAAAAGGGTAGCCCTGGCTGGTGTAGCTCAGTGGAATGAGCTCGGGCTGCGAACCAAAGTGTCGCAGGTTCGATTCCCAGTCAGGGCACATGCCTGGGTTGCAGGCCACGGCCCCCAGCAACCACACATTGATATTTCTCTCTCTCTCTTTCTCCTTCCCTTCCCTCTCTAAAAATAAATAAAATCTTTAAAAAAAAAAAAAAGGGTAACAGAAAAAGTAATAACAGGGCACATATATTTCGAAGACGGGAATACTCAGGGCAGGAGAAGAACAGATTAAAGAAGAAAAACTCGGTAATGCAGAAGACGGAAGGGATCTCAAGTGAAACCCTTGAGAAGAGAAGGGGAACCGGTGACCACAAGGAGAGCCCGGGCATGAACAAGCACACCTCCCCGCAGAAACAGGCTGGAAGGCAGGGAACATGGGCAGCACGTCTATAAAGGTCCAGACGTGGGAAGTCTCCTCCGATTTCGCAGTAATGTGTACTACTTACAAGGTTAGTAGTGGACACCTGAGAGGAAGGGGCTGGAAGGTAGTCTCCTGGCCTCCCGTGGTTTCCCCAGTGATGTTCACAGTCGCCGTGTCACACCGACTGGGCCCAGGGACACCAGCAGGTGATCTGGTTGGCATCAAGCATGTACACGCAGACAGGAGAGTTTTTCTCTGTACTAGCTGTCTCATACAAGGATCAAGTCATAACCTCATTAAGAATGAAATGACTTCTCTGCCCTAACACTATGATATAGAAAATACATTCATTTTTTTCATCAGACACCTCACTGAGGGATTTCCAGGTGAGCACGCCAGACCTCTGTGAAATCCCACCAAAAGGAGAGCAAAGACACAAAAGTGATGTATACCACAAAAGATAAAAGATTACCAGGTGAGAGAATAAATAAGAATTGCAATGAAGTGTTAAACGCTGGAAGGTTGCTAGAAATGAAGAGTGGGGGGTGAGCTGCCATCCCAAAAGGATTAACAGAAAGTCTACAAAATGAATGGTAAACTGCTTCCTTGTTCTCTTTCCCTACTCAGCTCTCAAACCACATGGCTTGCACTCCCTGTGTATTTCCCATCTCTCCTGACCAAGAAGGAGACTGAAGAATCTCCTAGAAAGACACTCTAGCCCAAAAGAAAGAACAAACAGCTACGGAAACATGGGGTCTGGCCAACAAAACGGCCAGGCCCTCCGCTTATTCACTGAATTGTGATGCCCCCCAGTTGACAGTCCGCCTCACACAGAGTACCTTCAGTCAGCTTTTCGTCGTCTCTCTGTTCACTATGGATGTAGAGCCAACAATCACCAGATACTTAAGGCTCCAAAACTAGAGCAAGAAACCAAAATTGACAAGTGAAAAAATGGAACTCAGGAACAGAGATAATTCAAGAGCAAAGGACCTTACAACTTACAACCATAGTTAATATCTTCAGTGGAGTAAGACAAACAAAAGGAGGAAGACACAGAAAAGAAAGGAGCATTGACAGAAAAGGAAATGGCTCGCACAAATTAAAAATATGACAGCAGGTAAAAGTCCAATAGAAGAGCTGAAAGGTAAATTAAAGAATTTTTCTTAAGAAATATGATAAAAAAGCAAAGGAAAAGAAAATAGTAAAGGAAAAGATATGAAGCAGAATAATTCTGCCATCAAATTTCTAATGGAGTCCCAAGAAAAGAATGGGAGAATATTATCAGAGAAATAGTTATAAGAGATTTCCAAAAATGATGAATCTAACATGCTAGACTCAGTCCACAGGTGCCCAGCATAATGAATAAGAAAGAACTTTCCAGGGCACGTCATCATGAAATTTCAGAATACCAGAACTAAAGAGAATATCTTAAATGCCTCAAGAATAAAAAAGCAGATCTCATACCAGGATTCAGAATGGCATTAACTTCTCAACAGAACTGGAAGCTAGTAATCAATGGAATGATGTCTTCAAATTTCTGAGAAAATGATTTATCTGCCAATCATATACCAGCCCAACTAGCAAGTAAGTGTGAGAATAAAATAACAACACTTGCAGATATGCACAGTCTTAAAATAATTTACCTGGTCTATTCTTTCTCAGGAAGCTACAGGAAAATATGAAACCCAGGAAATGGGTGCCACCACACAGGAAAAAGGGCGACAGAACACCCAGGATGCTGGTGAAGGAAGCCCTCAGAAAGACAGCAGTGCGGCAGCTAGAGAGCAGCAGGTGATGCGAGAGGACAGACAGAGGGCTCCGGAAGGGGAGTTTAAACCAAAAAAAAAAAAAAAGGACCTCAGAGAGGCAATTAACTCCAATAAAAGATAAAATTTTTCAATAAAATATAATTATATATAAGTATATAAAATGGCTTACCTGTAAATGCATACTGTTGTAAGAATGCACATTCTACATACTGACTTAAGGACTGTGATTTAACACTATCGGGAAGATACAGTAAGTATATGTGTGCCTGTGTGTGAGAGGGTAGACTGTCTGTGAGCATATATTCCTAATCTTTAAATAGCAGGAAGCAAATATAATTAAAATATCAATAAATAGCAAAAGAAGTATATTGTTTCAAAAATATGGAGATAATATACTAGAAGAAGAGTCAAAAACTGAAAATGATTCTCTGGGAGGGGCATTTGGGATGAAGGGGAATAAAAGAGGAAATGTGTATATGTTTACTTTGACGAATATAAAATTTTGGTTCATTTCTCAGATTTTGACAACATACCGTTCAATAGCACGAAGTTTGATCTTATTCATATCTTTGAGGACATCCAACATGTTTGGAACATCTTTGTTTCTCTGGGGTTTGGAATGACGACTGTAGCTGGCCTTACTAGCACCTGGGTGCTGTTTTTTCATTTCAGTTGCTGAATTAGCTGAGTCACAAGTTGTAGGATATCCTGGCTGCACAGGAGAACGTGGAGGCTGGAGAGGAGAAAACTGAGGGGGCAGAGGGGGTGGAGGAGGAGGAGCGGGAAGCACTGAACTTGAAAATGGATCCGGTTGGACACTCAGGTGAGCAGTCCCCGATGACGGCACTTGTCCCAAACCACCAGGCCTGTCAGTCGAGGCAAAGGAGCCTAAAAACAGAGTAGTCTGTTGAAAAACCATGCAAAATTCTCCTTAACACTAATTAAAACCAAATCAGAAACAATTTCTGTAATGCTACTAAAATAATGATGTGGCCAGGAAAAAGAAGCAATCCCATCTGCTTAGTAATTTTAATGAGTCAATAGGAAATTTACTTTTAATCCAGTTAGGATTCTCTGTGTACACCCTTAAAAGTGGGAAGGAGGAGAAACATTTTAAAGTGAAAATAAAAAGTGCTTTTTCAGTAATTCACATGTAATCTAAATTTCATCCTCTATTTGAAAAAGCTAAAACATGATCAACAACTTATAGTTAGAAACACTCAAAATGGTACACTCTACGAGAGCATCGTAGTAATACCTAAGCAAGTGTTTTTCAGGCAACAGCCTAAAGTTGAGTGGAGAGGACAGTAGTCCCCCTTTATCCATGGTTTTGCGTTCCATGCTTTCAGTTACCCACAGTCAGCCCCGGTCCAAAAATATCAAATGGAAATTCCAGAAATAAACAGTTCGTAAGTTTTAAATTGTGTGCCTTTGTGAGAAGCAAGATGAAATCCCGAGTTGTCCCACCCCACCCCACCCAGGACAAGAACCATCACCCCCACCCATCAGCATTTAGGGGCTGTCTGGGTGATTGGACTGACTGTAGCAGCGTCATAGTGCTTGTGTTCAAGTAACCCTTCATTTACTTAATAATGGCCCCAAATCGAAACAGTAATGATGCTGACAATTTAGATAGGACAAAGAGAAGCTGTGAAGTGCTTTCTGTAAGTGAAAAGGTACATCTGTATAGGAGAAGCATCATATCTATGGGTCAGTGCTATCCGTGGTTGCAGGCACCCACTGGGGGTGTTGGACCGCATTCCCCACGGCGGGGACTACTGCAGCTAACTGTTTCACAACAGATTTGCTCCTAAAAGGCTGTGTGTCACATGGCTGCTAAAAAAATGTGTATTTGTATCTCATTTTTATTATTACACATTATATATCTATATATTATTTATATATTTGTATATTATATATTTATAGTATATAATTTACATATATTGTGTTTATATGAATTATGTATGTGTGTACACATATATTATGTGTGTATATCTATAGGTTAAAGCGAGTTATGTCTCTAAAAATTTAGAAAGGGGTCATCTGGAGAGCATTATTCACCCAACTTGGTGGAAGAACAGGAACAATAACTTCAAACTACAAATATATGAAACCTCAAACCTATGCTTTCCTTTCAAATTAATGCATTCTTCCTCTTAAATTTCCACTGCTTTTCTGAGGAGTTAGAAAAATTTACTTAGGAAACAAGCTTTTCAGACAAAACTACAATCGTCTGCACTGTATTTAGCTCTTCTTTAAACATAAATTACCTCCCTCAATACTGTGTTTAAATAAACATCAGACCTAAAAATTTTATATATCCAACATCTTTTTATATTTCATGTCATTCACACGACACATAAACAGCAAGCATCATTCTTCAGAACTGTACTGACTTAAATACTAGGCAGGTATCATCTAACTGAAACAAAAATCCAATGTGTTACTTACCAGAATTTGTACTGTTTTTCGGTTGCTGCATTTCCACAATTGCAGCAATCTGAGAGCGAAGAAAAGTTAGTTCGTCTTCAAGGGCGGCTATTTTCTTAATTGCAGCTTCACTTACAGGCTGAGAATTTTCCATTGATTTGTTATGTCTTGGAGCAGGTGACAGTGGATCCCAAACTAATTGCAAAGGATGGAAAAATTCACTTTTCTCTTCTTCCTCATTTTTCCATATTCCATTTCTGTGGGTGAAAAGAAGGGAAGAAATGGGGAGAGGGAGAGAGTGAGGGAGAGGGAAAAGGAGAGAGGGAAAAAGAGGCAGAGGGAGAGAGAGAAGAAAAAGAAGAGGAAGAGGGGTGGGGAGGGGTGAGGAGGGGCAAGGAAGGAGAGGAGGAGGAAGAAGGGAGGGGGAAATTTTCCAAGAGGAATCAATTATTTCAGTCAAAGAGGAATAAGGACACCAAAACAAAACCCAGAGCAGCTCTCTTTACCCCGTGATTTACCCCTGGACCCGCTGAGGACAAGCACAGCATCTTGCGTAACTTCATATTCTCAATGTGTAGGACAGAATGCAGCCTTTAACAACAGGTGACCGGTAAGTACTCAGTAAATGAAGGAGCAGCCTTTCATTTAGATTGTAAAGTAAAAATAATTATCTTGTAACTGCTCTCTGCCTACTCACTTTAAACACACTACAAGTTTATTTACTTAGACATAAATTTGGTTTACTTAGAAATTCTACATATTCTGAATATACACTACTGAAAGTCCTTATATTCATCATAATGTTAAGGGTAAGTTTATGGTATTTTAACTTTTTGAAAATTGATAAACCAGTTTGACATGTAAAAAAATTTAGCTATCATATTTGATTAATTAACACTGATTGAGCTTATAGCCTGTATCTGAAATATACTAACACATAAGTTAGTACCCCCTAGGAGAAATACATTCAAATTTTGAAATATGTTTAATATCATTGCCTGTAAGAACTATATACATTTTGAATAGATACATAAAGTAAAATAAATCTAGTATGAATCTAGTATCTACTATAGGAAATAGCTTTCTCAGAAATATAAACAGAGTGGTTCTGATAGCGTTTTAGTATCACTGCTTCCCAGGCCTGTGTTAGGTTCAAATGCTCATTAAGAAAAACCGGCTGTCCCTGATCTGGGTAGAGTTGCACCTGGCGTGGTGGTGCTTGTCTCATATCAGCCAGGGACAAAGTAACTCCTTGTCTATCCCAGGTTGGCTTTTGCTCTGTGCCCATGCCTGGTTCATGCTTTGGACACATGGAAAAAGAAAAAAAAAGAAGAAAGAAAGAAAAACTGGCTAAAAGTGAGGAACAGGCAGTTATCTTATTAGGAAAATATTAGTGGGACACAGCGCAGTACAGAGACAACACAAAAGGCTCAATGGGTCTGAGCAAACTTTGGCACATCCAAGAATTCCGATTATAGCCCAGACCCGACTTTCCAAGATAAATATATAAAATTACCGAAATCTGAGATAACTGGCTTCTTCATCATTCGCCACACACAAAATATCAGCGAAAGATGGAACTACGGATCCACAGTTGCCAGAGTCTACAGAGTTCAAGAGTGGGATCAGCTGAAGGAAAAAAGGAAACAAAAAGTCAGAGCTCTGCAGGGAGCGGGGAAGACACATGCTAGGGAAGTTAAGTAAGTTAAAAACCCAAGAGGGAAAAAGGAAAGGGATGTTCAATAGAAAGCCATGCACCCATTAGCAAGAAACAATACTGAAGACAATATTATTTTAAAGTCTAAATGTGTGCCAACATTCTCTCCCCCAGCTGAAGTCATCTATCATAAATCACAGACTAGAAGAAGAATAAAAAGTTACTCAGGTATTGCTTTGCATCTGCCCATCTTTGAATGTAATTACTTAAAGAAGTAAATACAAAAACATATGTGAAACAAATTGTTTCCAGGGATAAGGTTTTCTGCAGGAAATATTTCTTCGTGTGTTCTACCCTCTACCCCTAGGAGCACCTATGGGACACTCCCATGCAGTGACTAAACAGTGCATGGTGACCAGCTCACCTCAAAATCAGGCCTGCGGCAAGGTTCCAAAGGAAGAATTCTCCCAATAATACGAACAATACTCCGAGCCGATCCATAGCCTTTATTTCCCCAAATCTGCAAAACCTATTTAAACATAAAGCATTGTTTTAAAAAGTACTCTATTAACCATGTTTATATATCTATTTTAAAATACAGATGTAAAAGATGCAATTACACTTATTGTTTAAAAGAGAATATAGAAGGTATACGCAAAGTCTGTTTTAAAAAGAATATATCTTATACCTATAGCAGATCTCAATTCAGACATTTCACGTAACTAAAGGTGATACCTGGCTAGTGGCTACCACACGGAACAGTGCAGCCTAGAGGATATAGAACCCAGACCTGTCAACACTGGAACCTCTGCCAGGCTGAGCAATCATAAATACAGCGTCCCTGCTGCTCAGCTGAGCACCCTTGCTAAGAGCCGCAGGCCCAGAGGCTTCACTGCAGTGAGAGCTCCGTGCTGCACATAAACAGTCATCCTGTTCTTGGTTTACTTTCATCTCTTGCTGTGTGATTCCATGCTGACAAACTCCTGCCCTTCCAACACTCTCATTCCCTCACTGCTATTGGCCATCTTCATCATTTTCATGATTGCACCTCCTTCTTCTATTCCTGGCCTAGGACTCTCCTTTTGACATTGCTAACTTTCCTATCAAGAGGGATTTTCAAATTAATTGGTTCAGTGATATGCTCTCAAAACCAGTTCAGACTTTTGATATTGTGTTCCCATATTACTAACAGATAAACTAGCCCAACTACTCTTAGACAGAGAAAAAAATTACAAAACAATAATATTTAGAAAGATTACAAACCCATGCTGATTTTACCTGGCTATTCTGTACAGGTGTTCTGCACCCCTTTATGACCTGTTATGTTCAATTCTGTGTCACCCAAAGTAACCACCAATCTCTGAAATCCCCAACACTACCACTTCCATCACCTACCAGTGGTCTGTCTCACCTCTCCTACTATTGAGAAAACCAGGACTATGATCTGATATGCTTCAATTTTCATTCCTCTCCATTCAAAAGCTCCCCACCGTCTCTCACTTTTATTGTACTCTTGACTGTCCATCTTCTTTTCAAGGCTTATTTATTTATACCCCCTGCCATACTACCTTCTTCAGGTCATTGCTCAATCGTTCTCACTTGTATTTTAAATATTTTCTGTCTATAAGGTTCTTCCCCAGCACTTGCAAACATGAAGTTACTTCTAATATTAAAAAAAAATAATAATAAAAAGCCCTGGCTGATGTGGCTCAGTGGATTGAGCACTGGCCTACAAACCAAAGGGTTGCTAGTTCGATTCCCAGTCAGTGCACATGCCTGGGTTGTGGGCCAGGTCCCCAGTAGGGGGTGCACGAGAGGTAACCACACGTTGATGTTTCTCTTTCTCTCTTTCTCCCTCCTTTCCCCTCTCTCTAAAAATAAATAAATCTTTTTTAATAAAAGAAATTCATTCCTGCTGCCCTTTCAAGTTGATGGTCTCTCCCAGTTCCTTTTCATGAACTTTTCAAAATATTGCTGGTGCCACCTCCCTCCCTCAGACAAATATCAAATTACTATAATATGGCTGCCACTCTCCTACAGAAATCCATGGGTTCAAATCCCAGAACACAGATAACTCCGAATTTGAATCAAGTCTTTTCTTTCCTACATTCTAGAACCATGCATCTCATTATCTGCAGGATACCTGTACTTCTATATTCTAACAGTAACCCTGGCTCACCTTATCTTGCTATTCAAGCTAGCTCCTCATACTAAGTTGCCTATTTGTAAGAATGGCACACCATCATTATTCAACTTGCTTTTGTTTAAAATCTGGAATTATCCTGAATTATCTTCTAATTCACCACACCAAATAGTGATGACATGTCTATTCTACAACCCCCCTCTTATATTTTGTGTCTTATATCCAATCTTGTATTATACTTTTCTGTATATGTTGGCTAGTCCTCATATTTTAAGCACCACGAATACAAGAACCATGTACTGCTGTTCTGATTCACCTGCAGAACCAAGCATACTGTCTTAGATATAGCAGGTGCTCAGTACGTAGACAAACTTGGATTTGCTTTTAATTCTCAGATTGAGTCATCCTCTCTCCTTAAGACTTATTATGAATATTTTAAGCTGTAACTTGCCATTCTATATCCCAATATTAAACTAAAGTTACCTTAATAAAAGCTTTAGATGATTAAAAATGTAATTTACTACTTCCAGCCAAGATGGAGGCATAGGTAGACATGCTTCCCCTCTTCATACAACCATAAGGACAACAAATAACCTCAAAACAAAAACCGAAAAGACCTGCCAGAAAATCAAACTGTATGGAAGCCAACAACCAAGGATTTAAAGAAGACATACTGATCCAGACAGGTAAGAGGGGCAGAGACAGGGGAAAAGGAGCAGAGAGGATGCAGTATGGCAGCCAGGCTGTGGTGAACAGATGGGGCGGTCCCACATTCAAGTGTGGTGGATAAAAATCAGGAGCAACACCTGGGAGCCAGTGATCCCAGCCCCAAGCAAGAGCGCACAGCCCAGGTTCCCAGCACCAGGAAAATAAAGCCTCATAACTTCTGGCTGCAAAAACCAGTGGGCATTGGGGCAGCCTAAGAAACTGTGGGTCTCTCAGGAGAGTCTGTTTGAAGGACCCCCAGGGTTAAGCAAAAACCCGCCCACTCTGGGATTTGGCACCAGGGCAGCAGGTGAAGAGTGCCAGTCACATACTGCAAGTGGGGAAAGTGACTAGAAACCCAGCAAGAGCAGAGCAGGCAGCATTGTTCCCTCTCTGACCCCTCCCCCACATACAGTGTCAAAAAGTGGCAAAGAGGGTTCTCCTACCCTGGCAAATACCTCAGGCTCCTACCCTTACAATGTGACAGATGTGCCAAGACAGGAAGTCAAAGCAGCTCTACCTAATACACACAAACACAGGGAGGTTGCCAAATTGAGGAGACAAAGAATCATGGCCCAAATGAAAGAACAGATCAAAACTCTTGAAAAAGGCCCTGGCTGGTATGACTCAGTGGACTGAGTGACAGCCTGCAGACTAAAGGGTCGCAGGTTCAATTCCCAGTCAGGGCACATGCCTGGATTGCAGGCCAGGTCCCCAGTCGGGGACACATGGGGGGCAGCCACACATTGTTGTTTCTCTCTTTCTCCCTCCCCTCTCTCTTTAGAGATAGATAAATAAAATCTTAAAAAAAAAAAAAAAAACCCTCCGGAAAAAGAACTAAGCAAAATGGAGATAGCCAACCTGTAAGATGCAGAGTTCAAAAATTGGTAATAAGGATGTCAGAGACTCACTGAGTATGGTAAATGCATAAGGGAAGAAATGAAGGCTAGACTAAGTGAAATAAAGAAAAATCCACAGGAAACCAACAGTGAAGGGAAGGAAACCGGGGTTAAAATCAAATATTTGGAATATAAGGAAGAAATAAACGGTCAACCAGCAAGAATGAAAACATGTAAATTCAAAAAGACAAGGAGAGAATAAGGAGACTCTAGGACATCTTCAAAAGTTCCAACATCCAAATCATAGGGATGCCAGAAGGAAAAGAGGTAAAGCAAAAAATTGAGAATTTATTTTAACAAATAATGAAGGAGAACTTCCCCAATCTGGAGAAGGAAATAGACTTCTAGGAAGTCCAGGAAGCCCAGAGAGTCCCAAAGAAGTTAGACCCAAAGAGGAACACACAAAGGCACATCATAATTACATTACCCAAGATTAAAGACAAAGAGAAAATCCTAAAAGCAGTTAGAGAAAAAAGGAGAGTTACCTACAAAGGAGTTTTCATAAGACTGTCATCTGATTCCTCAAAAGAAACTTTGCAGGCAAGAAGGGGGCTGGCAAAAAATATTGAAAGTGATGAAAAGCAAGGACCTACATCCAAGATTACTCTATCTGGCAAAGCTATCATTTAGAATGGAAGGGCAAATAAGGTACTTCCCAGGCAAGGTAAAAGCTAAAGGAGTTCATCATCACCAAGCCTTTATTATACGAAATGTTAAAGGGACTTATCTAAGAAAAAGAAAATCAAAACTATGAACAGTAAAATGACAACAAACTCACAACTATCAACAACTGAATCTTAAAAAAAAACAAAAAGAAAAACAAACTAAGCAAACAACTAGAACAGGAATCACAGAAATGGAGATCCCATGGAGGGTTATCACAGGAAGGGGGCAGGGGAAAATCAGGGAAAGAGTACAGGGAATGAGAAGCATAAATGGTAGGTACAAAATAGACAGCAGGAAGTTAAGAATAGTATAGGAAATGGAGAAGCCAAAGAACTTATATGTACGACCCATGGACATGAACTAAGCGGGTGAGGGATGCTGGAGGGAAGTACTGGGAGAAGGGGTGACAAAGGCAGAAAAATTGGGACAACTGTAATACCATAATCAATAAAATATACTTAAAAATGTAATTTACCCATGCAATAAATTTAATTATATGAAGGTCACATCTACATTTTGTTTGTATCTTTTGAAGGCATTTGACCCATAATATAAATACATTCCTAGTAATCTTATCCCTTTTCAAACTCAAACTATCAAAGCTAAACTATTGAAAACTCACCTTGGTAGCACCCAAAGAGAAATAACAATTTCACCTTAAATGTTTATATATAAGGCATTTTCAAAATGAGACCCAGGAATAAATACAACCCATTCATTGAAATCCACCAAGAAAATATTTACCTGGTCCATGGGAACACCGAAATATTCCAGCATCTCTCTTAAGATATTCAATATGGGAAACATTGATAAAGCAAACACAGAAGCAAATTCAAGGAAACATTATCCGTTTCTTAATGCCTTCAGGAAAAAAAATTTGGAGAACAGTACCTTAACAAATAAATAACTGCCGCATAAATTGTATTAAATAAACTAGAAGTCCTATCGTTACGCATTACACCATCAACTAATCTCTTCTGGCCAGCATTATTTTGACGGAGGTCAAAGAGAATAACGGGGAGTGGGGAAGGTCTCGTAAAGGAAAGTTCGATTTATCAGTTAAATTGCATTGTAAGTTCATAGGATGTTTGATTATAATACGTATTAATCAACAATAGGTGGACACAGCAGAGAAGCTCCCTCTGGTCCTGAAAGCCTTGGACGGGCTCGGGAGAGAGACGTGTTCAGCACACCCTTGAAAGCGGGCAGGAGCCTTGGCCGTGTGGCTCCGTTGGTTGGGAGCGGAGGCAAAGCAACAAGTCACGGGTCTGATTCCCGGTCAGGGCAAATGCTTGGATTGCGGCCCTCTGGGGTGCCTTCCCGAGGCAACCACATTGATGTTTCTCTCCCTCTTTCTCCCTCCCTTCCCCTCTCTCAAATGTCGAAAAAAAGTTAGGAAGGGGAGGGAGGGAGGAAAGAAGGAAGTATGGACCAACTCAAGGCTTTAACAAAATAAACAGTAGCTCTTCCTCACCACCCACCCCTCCTCACTCACCTTAAGGATCATGAACCCCAGATCCGTGACTTAACTCAGTCACCCAACTAGCATGTAACTGGCCGATACTGGCGCCCGGTCCTATCCCTCGCTTTGGCCCAGCATATAGCCACCTTGCTCGCCTTCCTCCGAAGCCAAGCCTCCGGGTAACACTGCCTCGGAATCCTCAGGTGGCGAAGCGCAACTTGCGCTGATCCGGTTTCAGGAACGATCAGACCCGTGTCCGCCCGCGCGCCGCGGTTGGACGGACACAGGTGGTAACGGACCCGGGCCTGGGCCCTGGAGCCACTGGCACAGCCAGGGTAACGTCACCCGAGGCGCGGCCGCCTCTTCCCCGGTGCGGCACAACCAGCCGCTCTCCTCCCGGAGACTGTAGCTCCCTACTTCCGCGTCCCTGGACGAAAATCAAACTCCGCGGGCCTTGACCTGTGCCGGATCTCATTGGACAAGGCTGAAGATAGCTGCTTGTGATTGGTTGCGTGAAAACGTCAGTTTATTTCCTGTTATTTGGACAGACTTTGGGGATTTTCCTTCTCCTTTAAGAGGCGCGAAGCAGCCAATAGAAACCAATAGACAGCTGGTGGGCGGGGCCGACTGTACGGGAACCGAGGCGCACGCGTGTGCTGCGGCTTCAAGTATCAGAGTGTGGATTATACGTTGTCTATAGCCGGGGGTTGTAGAACGATTATGGGCCCCTGAACCGGGCCCCTGAACCAGGCCCAATCCGGAGCTCCTGCCCCACACAGATATTCGCAGAAAATATATACCGTCCCCTACCCGCAGACCTGAAGCGGGGCCCCCCTCCCAGGCCCGCTGGCCGTGAAAAGTCGCCATTTATTGTTTGATCATCAATGAGTGAACATATGCTTATGCGGCTAGCAGAAGCTAAGCACTATCCTCAGGGATCTGCAGCTTTACGGTACTTAGAATGTACATTCATGAAATGCTTGTGTTATCCAATTTACCAAATATGGGACTGATACTGACCTGGCCTAGCCGCAGCTGGCAAAGTGATCACCAAGTCATGACAAGTGATATTCCAATTTTCAATTCTTACTGATACATTAGAGTAACATGACAAGATCAACTGTGCCTGCGGCTGACCTACATAAAATTTTTCTATGTCCCATAACATTTCTTCATTAAACTAATACTGAATGTCTACCGTGTCTGAAGTTTCATTCTAAATGCCAGGAAAAGCCATAACGGGCAAGGCAGGGAAGGTGGATGCCCTGCTGGAGCTTACCTTCCAGTAGAGACCTCAGGCTTTCTCTGAGCACCGAACGTAAGTAAATAGCCTCTCTCTCCACTCCTTCCTTATTTTTGTTTATAGCACTTGTCACCATGTATGGTAAATACATGGTGGGGCAAAAGTAGGTTTGCAGTTGTATTCGAAACAGTTTATGCTAATATCACTTATTATATTATTTTCTGTACAAATAACTTTAAACCTACTTTTGCCCCATCCTGTATTTATGCTTCCCGTGTAGCCTAATGAGACTGTAAACTCCAGAACAAGAATTTTGTTTTGAACCATGCTGTTTTATCTCCAGTGATTTAGAAGAGTGCCTGGGGTGTGTGTGTGTGTGCATATACACATATATACATATATATAATAGGCATTTAACCAATTTGTTGGATTTTATTGGATATGGAATGAGAGAAAAACAATCACCAAGAATGATTTGGAGCTAAGCAACTGGAAGAACAATAGTGATTATAATGATAGGCCCAGGAGTCTAAACTAAGATGAAAGTAGGGGCAGGAAAAGGGTGTTGGACAATATACAACTTTAAGGCAAATGGATTGGCAATCTTACATGAAATTAGTAAATCACCATATTCTCAATATTCCTTGTCCTTTTTTTTTTTTTGCCCTGAGTAAATAATGATTGCTTTTTTAAAGATTTTATTTATTTTTAGACAGACGGAAAGGGAGGGAGAAAGAGAGGGAGAGAAAATCAATTTGGGGTTGCCTCTCATGCGCCCCCTGCTGGGGGCCTGGCCTGCAACCCAGGCATGTGCCCTGACTGGGAATCAAACCGGTGACCCTTTGGTTCTCAGGCCCACACTCAATCCACTGAGCCACACCAGCCAGGGCATAAGTAAATAATGATCTTAAAACCTTCTCCCATTCCAGTCTGATATCAAACAGCACATAATAGCTACCAGAACAAAAAGGGATGTGCTCATCCCTTGAGAACATACCAGGAATCAATACTAAAGCCTCCTTCAGGCTGCAATGTTAACAGAACTCAACATTCATTTCTGAGTTAGATTGTAAGGTGGGTCCAGGTCAAATGCTACAGACACCCATGAATGCTTTGTTGACAACTTTCCCTTAAAATTAATTTTTCAGAGATCCTCCATTTTGTTTATTAAAGCATTCATGCATACTACTCCTTGATAATCTTCTGAGGTTTGACATTTTCTATTGCTCATTTTTCTGTGAAATTATTTCTCTGAACTTTGGGAATGATGCAGGATTCATAAAAGCTTCTCTGACTTTACATAGCTACCTTTTATTTGGCTTTTGTGTTCAGAAATATGCTGGCTTACTTTCTAATATTTTTCTAGCTATATTCCCTTCTACCAGGTTATCTAGGCCCCCTCCTTTGTCTATTATCTGTCTCCTGCTTATTTTATTCCACTTTTGGTACTTTCTCTTCAGTGTGGGGACAGTCTCTATCTGAAAGGAAGTCTTAAGACAAGACTTCCTTTTGTCTTCCTGTTGGCAGGCTCGTTTGGAGATTTCCCTGGGGTAAACTAGTTTCTCCATTCCTTAATGTGGGTACATTGCACTATTAGGAAAAAACCTCGAGGTTCAGCTGGCTGATGTGGGATTCTCCTCATCAATCAGACATTACCTGAATTTTTCCTTCTACTCACAAAGAAGTCAATACCAGGCAGGTTGGTGGTTAGCCCCCATTTGCTGATACTTGGGAGTTCACAAGAAAAGTCTGTCACCTAATTTAATTGCAAATGCCATCCATAGTTATTTGGTTTGGCTATGTAGGTGTAATTTTTCAGAACCACTAATACACCATCATCATCATACTATGTTCTGGGTGCCCAAGACCAAGAATTTTTAATTCACCTATACATCCACTGCCAGGTACTTTTTCAGTGAATTAATAGAGAGATGCTGAGGGCTGACTTGGATAAAGATGAGAAAAATATTTATTCAATCTTGCAAACTGCCCAGAACTCTATTAGCCTTGTGACATAAGCCTAAATTTTAGATAAACTCAAATTACTGTAATCTTAAATAATGCAACAGAATACAATATAGCATACTATCAAAGTATGCAATAGCCTCTCCAACCTTAACCATGAGTCTCATAAAAGGGTGTATTTCAAAAAGAAAAATACTTGGAGCCTTTTTCCTTGTTCTGCCTATGCTTAAAGCCTCTCAGGGTGGTAATAACACAGTAAATTTAGACAGACCAGTGCTTGTAAGATTACACACCTCTTAAAGGGTCATTAAAACTTTACAATTATTTATTCAGAAGTTTTAGAGATTAATTAAGACCAGGATTTTATTAAAAACACGTTTCAAATTAAATTCTCCTGAAAATTTCCTCCACTTCTATTAACAATAAAAATGATACAGCCCTACTACCTATGAATCTATTGGGCTGGCCAAAAAGTTCATTTGCTTTTTTCTGTAAGATGGCTCTAGTAGTGCTTAGTTGTCTTTTAACTTCATTTGAAACAATTCTGTTAATTGTATTGTGACAGCTGTCATATCAGCATGCATTTTTTAAGAAAAATTCATCAAAATTGGTATTTTGGAAATTGGTACTGGAATTTGTGTGGTCATTTTAATATTAAGATGAAAGGAAATACATATTTCGGCATTTTATGCTTTATTCTTTCAAGAAAGGTTAGAAATACAACTGAGATGCAAAGGAAGATTTGTGCAGTGTATGGAGAAAGTGCTGTAACTGATCAAATGTGTCAAAAGTGGCTGCAAAGTTTCACGCTGGAGATTTCTCGCTGTATGAAGCTCTATTGTCGGGTAGACCAGTTGAAGTTGATAGTGATCAAACTGACATTAATTGAGAACAATCAACATTATAATACACAGGAGATAGCCAACATACTCAAAATATTCAGATCAATAGTTATTGGTGAAAATGAAAAGCGTGTCTTTTACTTTACAGAAAAAACTAAACGGACTTTTGGGCCAACCCAATAAATTGCTGTTTATTTATAGTGATATAATATGAAGATTACAAAGCATAAGTTAAATGTAGTCTTAAAGCAAAATTTTTTATTTGAACCTTTACATAACTTCTATAAAAACAAGCCTAAGTTATGCTTAGTGTCTGAATCTGAAGGTCTTATGTGTTTATTATGGCCACTCATTATTTTTTTTTAAGATTTTATTTTTAGAGAAAGGAAGAGAAGAAACACTGATCAGTTGCTTCTAGCATGTGCTCTGACCGGGGACCAAACCTGCAACCCAGGCATGCGTCCTGACTGGAAATTGAACCGTCAACCTTTTGCTTTGCAGGCCCAACCAGCTGAGCCACACCGGTCAGGGATACTCACTATACTCTGTCTAGACCTCACTAAAAGCAAAAAGGATAACTTGTTCTTTTTGTGTTCCCATTACTTTTAAATGTGTGACTTCATAGATTCTGTCATCTGTTTTGATACAATCTTATATTCACAAGTAGGACTGCTTTGACTCTTAATCACTTAAAGAACTGGTTAGAACCTAGAACACAGGAAAAATAGTTAAAGGATGTCCTGCCCATCTTCTGGACCATCCAAATGGCCCATCAGTACTCCTGATGTTTCCATGTAATCCTTTTCATTTTTAGCAATAACTCATACTTTTCTTAACAAGAATTCAAAAATTCCACTTCATAAAAATCCATTTTAATTTGTCTTACAAAGGACACTACATAAGACTTTAAAAGAAATGCTGCACCCTGGCTTGTGTAGCTCAGTGCATTGAGTGTGGGCTGCGAACCAAAGTGTCGCAGGTTCAATTCCCAGTCAGGGCACATGCCTGGGTTGCAGGCCATTATCCCCAGCAACCACACATTGATGTTTCTCTCTCTCTCTCTCCCCCCGCCCCCTTCACTCTCTAAAAATAAATAAAATCTTAAAAAAAAAAAAGAAATGCTGCATTACTGCTACATTTTCCCAATGTTGTGATATGAAATTAGTTTAAATTATCACTGACAATCTCAGTTGGTAACATCCAATTTAATAAATCACACATGTTAAGCTGTAGCTCTTAATCATGCATATGTGATGCAGAGAACTAGCAGAATGTTAAGCTTCAAGTAGTGCAGCATTCCTGACAGGGAGCTACTTAGATTCTCCATACTTCTGTAATCAGAAAACTTGTTAAATACC